GGAGTACTTGAGTGGAGGCCCAATGTCCATCTGCTACCTTAATACTAAACCTATAAATATATGCACATAAATCTATTTCCCCATCCTCATATATAAATATATTTACATATGTACACACCTTTATTTAGACCTCTATAAATACCCTTTGCTTCCTAACTCTTTCCCCTATTTCCCTTTGCTTTCCTCATGTCCCACTATCATGCTCAGCCTTCATTTGAGTTACAGTAATTCCTCTCGGTTACCCTACCCTTGATCACGCCCTACCAGGCCTCCTACACCCTCCTCACCATCAATTTGTATCACTTGTTCCTTTGTCCCTGGGCTTGTTAACACCACTTCCTTTACCCCCCCTCCCGTCTCCCATGTCCTCCGGAGCTGTCAGTACTGTTGTTTTCTCCTACAGATTGTTCATCCAGCCTATTTTATTTAGACAGACCTGGGGTTCCTTACATTTTTTAACGAATTAATTTAACTGACTACCAATTTAGTAACATTCTACACCAAAAAACAAAACCCTCTTCCAACTGATTCAGAATCCACTATTTTATCTTGCATCCTTAGTAAAGTACAAAGAAACTTTAAGTGTAACTCATTAGTCAATTAGAAATAAGATTGATGGCATCATTTTGAAGTGATGTAACATCACTTTAACATATGTAATAAGCCAATATTTGTAGTAAGCTAATGCATATTATTTTATAAACTAATATTTTCAATGTAAGAGAAAACAAGATAAAATATAAAAAGCAAAAAACTTAAATAAAAACCCAGGCTGTTACATTTTACCTAGGAGCTCTGGTGGCATAGTAGTTACACATTGGGCTGCTAACCACAAGGTCCAAAGTTCAAAACCATCAGCCAATCCTCGAGGAAAGACAGGGCAAGTCTTTCTGCTCCTATAAAGAGTTACAGTCTCAGAAACCCATTAGGGCAGTTCTAGCTTCCCCTGTAGGGTCACTATGAGTCTGTATCAACTCTATGGCAGTAAGAATGTTAAATTTTTATTGAAAATCATGTCAACTGCTTTTCCCTCAACAAATTTTTGCCAGCTCTCTCCCTTGAATAAAGTGTGTTCTATCTTTATGCATCTAAAAGCTTTAGAAGCCAAACAGCCCAATGACAATAAGTACACCCAGTACCCAGACTGGGTCCTATGTAACAAAAACTAGGATTCCTTCATACTGATTGCAGATCTGAAGGAGGAAATGTACAGGGTGAGCCTGGGACACTGCTGGCCAGAAGACATGAGCTCAGCTGGATAGATCATACATAGCACAACGCTGGAGCCAACATAAACTCCCACTGGCTAAAGATAAACAAACTTGAACATTAAAAAGCAATTATGACACAAATCACCAAACAGTGAGCCTATTAAAAACACCTTTCCAACAATATGAATAAAAACTTCACTTAACATCACTAGAAGTAACTGGAGAACTAACTCCGTACTATAAATACTTAAAACAAATGCATCTGTGATATAATAATAGATATACTTCCTTATTAACATATTAAACAAGTTCCAGTGGCAGGGCTAGGAACTCCTGTTATTACCAATGCAGTAATGAGATGCATGATGCTGTGAGGTGTCTACACTAATGTAAGTTACCAATAAGAACCAAGTGATGACTGTTTCCAAAGTTAGATGGCATGAAACTCAAGATATTTTTCTAACGAAGCAATACGAAACAGGCCTGGGATCACTAGGCCTACTGCCCTCGCTGACTAGTCAAACCCAGGCATCCACCCTCCAATTTCCTGGAACTCAAACAAGAGCAACCTTGAAGCAAAAACCTGCAAGACTCCAATGCCAAGCCTTCCAGCTTTCTCCCTGTCAGTCCTCTCCATTCTTAACTCACTTCCAACCACTAACACAGCTCACTAAGTGTGGGAAACAGAAGGATTTCTCTCAAGCTGTCTCCCCCAAATATATACCAGACTTAGTTGCTTGAGAATGACTGTACACTTGGAGGTCATCAGGAGTGGATTGGGGGTCATTCTCCGAGAGTTATCAGCTATCTAGATCAAGCAGACACCACTATTTATCCCACAAGTAGGGCCCACTCCCTTCTGATAAGGATAGTAGTTGTCTGCTTCCTTGTAGGAGACACCGGAGAGGTCAAGCCTGCCCAAGGATGACCAAGATGAGGCTGCCATTATGAATCTAGGGTCCGCCCATCTTGTCACATGTATACCTCTAGACCTTCCCATTCCTATGGGCACACCCCTAGCTCATCCCTTCCTGTAGCTATCATAGATCCCCTTCCTACAATGTGTATGCCTATTGTACTGCCCCTTCCTGTGACGTGTGATTCTGTAATCATGTCCCCCTAAAGTGATATAATGCGTGGTTGGCAAAAAAGAAGAAGCTCACTCCGGAGCCCGAGAGGCTCTCCCCAGCTCAGAGGCTGGAAGCTCTCTCCGGCTCCCCGGGCCTGGAGGTTCTCCCCGATTCCCGGGGCCCTCTCTGGCTCTTGGGCCAGGAGAGGCTCCCCGGTTCTCGGTCCCCGAGGCTGCTCTTGCTCTCGTAGCCGGGTTCCCCTCCTGAGGACCATCAAGCGGGGCTGAGGTGAGCAATGCTACCATGTAATGTGTCTGACTGCATCTTTGTAATATCTCTTTTATCTCTCATGCTCTCGATGATTTTAATATAATCTATCTATCTATCTATCTATCTATCTATCTATCTATCTATCTATCTATCTATCAACCGTACAACTGTGCTTACTGAACCCGTAGGTAGTACTAGCGGTGGGGGCTGGCCCCTCACCCCCCCAATTTAATTTAATACTACAACTAAGAGGTCCCAAGCACTAGTCTAAGCACTTACCCTGTAGCAGCAGACTCCTTCAAGCTTCACACTTACTACCTTCTAAAGTAAGTTCTATTACCATCCTACCCAAAACCAAGCTAGAGAAATGTCCTAAAGGTATGTTCCCCCCATTGCATTAACGGAGCAAAATTCCATTTCCAGTACAATTTGTCTGCTTTCTCTGTATCTGTACCTATGATTCTGAGTACTGCTGGTGAACACAATCTCATATTATCTACGACTGATACTAAGCCCTCAGATACCTGGCTGAATGCTGTTTCTTCCAACAGAGGACTTCACAGAAATACCATCCAATGGGATTGGTCTCAGGGTCCTGCAGCTAACCACAAGGAACCAATCACAAACCAGACCTTATCTTATGCCGGAACTGCTCTTCCATCCAAAGCCAATTCTTCGACCCATTCCCTCCCAGGTCAAAGCACTGCCATAGGTTTGCTCAGAACCTCTTCCTTTCAGAAGTCTTTAGCCTCTCCACATGTAACAGACCCTGGTGGTATACTGTGTTAGTCCTAGAAACCCCAGGGCAGTTCTAACTGTCCTATAGGGCTCTATGCGTTGGAATCAACTGGATGGCAGTGACAGGTGGGTGCTCCTATGGCAGCCTCACACTCGCAGGGCTCCCCATCGTGAGAATGAGACTACCACATTCCCTGACAGGTGACCCCTCCCTGACAGGTGACACTACGGCTCTGCCTTCTCCCCTGGCCGTCAGCCTCCAACTCCTGATTGTCACAGGGCATCTCCTGCTTGGCCTTTTGTTTTGTAAACAAGGGTTTTGGTAGGTTTTATTGGCACTTCATCCACTATCATACAATTCAATCATGTCAAAAAGAGTTGTACAATCATTACCACAATCAATTTGTGAACATTTTCTTCTTCCTTGTACTTATTTGTGTGACTGTTTTTTCAATTGTGGCAAAAAGTATATCTAACACAACATTCCAATTAAACTTCTACACATATAATTCAGTGGCATTGACTATATTCTTCCAGTTGTATAACCATCATTGTGTCTTTTTCCAAATGATTCCACCACCATTAACATTAACTCAATGCTCCCTAAACAAAAACTCTTCCTCCTTCATCTATGGTAACCACTAGTCAAGCTTGGTTTTTTCTTTTGCGTTTTTTTAATATTCACATATCATACACTTCCATAGTTAAATCATTTTTTTAAAAATCTGCGTACATATACATATACACTCACAATCAGGTCTAGTGTTCCTCCCCCCTCCCACATTCATTATTTGCTCCCCAAACCTGTCAACTTCCTCACCTCCCACCACCCCTACAGATCCCCTGCAATCCCTCAGTCAGGGAGCTGTCACAGAGCAAGTGGCAGGGCTGGAACTAATCTTAGTCTGGCTCCAAGGCCCTGGCTCTCAGCTCTTTAGATATGCTTCCTTTCAGTCCCAGGAAATGATCCGGCTTACAGTCCAGTGGGGGAGGTATTTTCTCCACTGCCAATGATTACCCTACAGACTGCAGGAAACAAAATGTGCACAGAAACCATTTGCTTTTCCGTTTCTTACAGCAAGCCAAACTCTCTCTCAACTCAGGGCCCAAGAGCAGACTAGTGCACAGTACATGGCTCCTGCCCAATCTTTGGGTCTCAGCCTAAATACTATTTCCTTAGAAAGCCTTTCCCGTAACTACCCCTCATCAACCAAATCTTACATAGCAGCCTGTAATTTACCTTCATAGCAACTAACATAACCTGTAATTACATATATATTATACTCACATATATATTTATATTTGTCTATATATTTATCTGTCTCCCCTAGCACAGTATTTGGTGTATATAGTAGTAGGCCCACAATGTTTGTTAAATGAAAATTATGGGTGAGTTCTCTGGATGTTTCTTTGTAATCATTATTTTCTAAATTCTTTCTACAATTAGCACTATTTGTAGAAGGAGCCCCAATGGCATGGATGGGTAAACCAATGGACTGCTCTCCAGAGGGTAGATGGTTTAAATCCACAGCCACTCTTTCTAGAGAGAAAGATGAGGCTGTCTGCACCCATATAAGATGTACGGCCTCAGAAACCCTACAGAGGGTCACTGCGAGTCAGAATTGACGCGTTAATAGTGGGTGTGGGCTTCTGGTTTTGTTTTTGAGCTTCTTTATCTAAGAAGGACCACTGGTGGCGCTGTGGCTAAAGTGCTCAGCAGATAAGCAAAAGGTCTGTTGTTTGAACCCATCAGACTGCTCTCCAGTCTACTTTTGTAAAGAGTTCCAGATTTAGAAACCCTATATACTCTGTCCTATAGGGTCACGAAGAAGCCCTGGTAGTGGTGGTGAGGAAGCGTTGGACTGCTAACCCCAAGGTTGCCAGTTCAAATCCACCAGCCCCTGATGGAGAAAGATGCTACCTGTTCCCATAAAGATTTGCCTTGGAAACGCTACATAAAGTCACGATGAGTTTGAATCAACTCAATGGGAGTGGGTTTGAGGGTTTGGACAGCCACCACTGTGGGAGAACCAGAGCACTGGTAACAGCAAGTTGCGCAGGTCAAGCCCCCAGCTGCTTCTTGAGAGAAACATGAAGCTGTCTGCTCCCACAGATTTAGTCTCCAAAACCCGTCAAAATTGACCCCATGGCAATGAGTTTAATTTGAGGTATCTAAGAAATTAACCAATAAAGACTGTCTTTATTCTACTGGTTCATTAAACTGAAACATAGCTTCTCTCTCTCAACCTTTAAAAATGATCAAATCCTAGGAATTCTCTAATGTTATCCTTCAAAACCTACAACCATCTCCAACATTATTTCCAGCTTCTTAGGTCCTCTGTTAATATTTTTTATACTGCATCTCACACACATCCCCATTCCACACATAACCCCTTTGCGACTCAGCTTACTAGATTCTCTTTTCATAAAGATGACTCTCTCCCCCAGCTACAGATCTTCATTTTCATATACTACCCTTCCTAGAACATTAGAATTCCTATCTGTCAGGTACCATAGTGAGTCACTGTGAGCCAGAAGTGACTTGCTGGTAAACGGTTTGGTTTTGTGGGATGACTGCCAGGTCATATGTCACTTCTCATTCAAAATTCTGCTCACAGTTCACGGCTCCCTCAAGCGTGCCCCACCTGGTTCCATGGTTCCACTTTACCCACACTCCCAGCTACTGGTCATCACCCAGATCTCCCCCCTCACTTTCCACTGCTGATAACAAGTCACTGTCTTTCTTCATGTAAAGTGACAGCAAGAAGGCGCCTCTCTTCACACATTCTCTTCCCTCACCAGCTTTTAAAATGTTAAAAAAATAATAAGTTAAAAAATAAAAGAGAATGCTTTTTTTTTTTTAAAGTCCCCTGCATTGCACACACAGAGAAACGGCTGCTACTTGTACACAGACCGTTTCAGATGAGGTGAAAAGCACCAGCCCAAATGTGATCTGAGAAAGCTGGGGGGGAGGGAAGAGTCACCTCCTGTACCAAACACTGAGTCACAGAAAACCACAAACCCTAAGCCTTCCATGGCAATTTTATTGATGATCAAGCCTCAAATAACAAAGTGTATAATCAAAACAAATCTGCAGAGTATAAACAAGCATAAGCCATGAGGGCAAAGGGCCGTGTTGGAAAGACAGATGGACGGAGGAAAAGGAGACAAAAGCACTGAGGGAGCAGAGTCCCGAGACAGGTGGAGTGCACTGAGGAGAGGGGGGCACTCACTTTTAGAAGACGCCTGTCCCCTTTAACAGAAGAGGACAGTAGGTAGGAAGAAAGGTGAGGGAAGCTTAGAAATCTTACTCCTATACCTTAAAACTAATGTGAAACTTAACTCAAAATGGATCAAAGAAGGTTGGAAACCATAAACCTTTCAGAAGAAAACACAGAGGGTAATGCTTCAGGACCTATCTTTTGAAGATAAAAATGGATTCTTAGATACAACAAGCACAAGCAATAAAAGGCAAAATAGATGAGTGTGCTCTCACAGCAATGAGATAATTTGTTCCTGAAATAATTTTATCAAAAAAGGGTGGAGACAACCTATATAATGGGAGAAATATCTTGAAAGTCATATATAAGGGTTTAAGAAACCGAAACCAAGCTTCTTACAATAAAAAAAAGCAACCACCCAATCAAAAAGTGGGCCTGTAAAGATGCTAGCAGCCATTCATTCACTCTCTCACAAGGACTTTATAAAGGTAGAACTGTCCCTGTGGGTTTCTGAGATTACAACTCTTTAGGGGAATAGAAAGCCTCAAGTTCTGCCGAGGAGCATCTGGTGGTTTCAAACTGCTGACTTCATGGTTAGCAGCCCAAGGTATAAAACCACTGTGCAACCAGAGTTCAATAGTCATTAGAAAAATGCAAGTCACACCACAATGTGGTATCACTTCACACCCACTTATATCTGATTTTAAAAACAGAAAGCAACAGGTGTTGCCAGGATGTGGTGGAACTGGAACCCTCGATTCATTGCTGAAGGATTGTAAAAGGCATTCTGAGTGGAAAACAGCCTGGTGAGCCTCAAAATGTTGAACACAGAATTAGCATGAGATCAACAATTCCGCCCCAACGTAGACACTAAAAGAAATTAAATCGCCGACACAAACAGCACACAACACAAACACTAATGTTAAATGCAGCACTATTCATAATAGCCGATCGGTGGCAACGCGCTAAACATCAAAATAATGAATGGATTAAAATACGTCATTCAAGAGGTCCCCAGGCATACAGACCACTCACACTTTAGAGCAGACTGGACATGCCAATTCAGGTGACACAGCTCTCCTCTGAAATGGAGTCAGACGAGGAAGGGCAGGAGCAGGTCCAGAGGGCACACACTCTCTCCTGAACTCCAAAACTGCGGCTGCCTATCAAAGCATCAAAAATATTTGTTGACAACCTGGCATTCTGTAATGCTCACCCTCCGAGCATGATTGCTGAAAACAAAATGAGTGCACAAGCAAATGTGGTGAAGAAAGTTGATGGTGCCCGGCTATCAAAAGTTATAGCATCTGAGGTCTTAAGGGCTTGAAATTAAGTGGCCATCTAGCAGAGAAACAACAAAGCCCACATGGAAGAAGCACACCAGCCTGTGTGATCATGAGGTGTCAATAGAATCAGGTAACAAGCACCAGAAGACCAAAAGCATACTGGTGAGAATGGGGGGGGGGGGGGGGGGGGGGGGGGTGTCAGGCCACAGACTCAAAACTCATTTGTAGACAATATGACATCCCCTCATAGAAGAGTCACAAGAAAGGGATGAGTAAATCAGGGTGAAGTATAGCACTGATGAAACGCAAAATATTTCTCTAGTTCTTTGAGGTTTCCTCACCCCCTACTATCATGAAACCAATCCTGCCTCTCACTATGGGCTAGGCCAGAGTACACAGGTACAGGTAAGAGCTCAGGACACACGGAATCCAGGTCAGATAAACCCCTCAGTAACAGAAATGGGAGTAGCGATACCAGGAGGGTAGGGAGAGGAGGTGGGTAAGAAGCTGTGGGGGAAGGGAGACAGTGGTCAGTGTAAGATATGAAAATAATTTATAATTTATCAAGGGGTCACGAGGATGGGAGGAAGGAAGGCGGGTAAAAAGAGAAACTGATACCAAGGGCTCAATAGAATGTAAATGTTTAGAAAATGATAGCAACA